AGAACTCTTGATCGTCTCGCGTTTCTCCGGAAACGGATGGACTTAACCATCGCCCAAAATGTGGCCCAGACATACGATCGACTCCCGAGCAATCTGTGACTTCTTGCGAGTGAGTTTCAGACCAGCTTCATCCAGCCTTGGTAGTATTTCTACAAGCCTGGTAAAAACTTCTTGCTCTGAAATATGGAAGACGATGATGGCATCACCGTGGACAAGCACGCCGTGTAGGTTCTCAAAGACCATCAGCGATAGACGTCTGAATGCAGCTGGGACTTTACATAATCCAAGCGGCATTTTTAGAAACTTTTACTGCTGGCCATTCACACTAAAAGCTGTCTTGTGGCGATCGTCCTCTGCGATGGGCAGCCGCCAATATCCCGCTAGGAGGTCTATCAAGGAAATCCGCTTGGCGCTAAGAAGACTGGAGAAACGTTCTTCCGTCTGGAGCATCGGAAACACATCCTTCACCGTCACTCTGTTCAGTTCTCTGAAATCAATGCAAAATCGATAGGTACCGTTGGCCATTGTTGTCAGTAGCACGGGCGATGAATAAGGAATGTGTTCGCCTGATGATTCCTTCCGCTTCCATTTCTACTGCCAGTTTTTGTATCTCCGTCAGCGTATTCTTCAGATGATCGGCTTGCACTGCCCTCCAGGGATTAGTGGTATTCGATAATCCACCCAAATGCAGAATCCGTAATCATCGTCTGTGTCTGTGAATAGGTAGGCATACATGCTCAGTGTACCGCGTATTTAAGGGTGCTGGCAGTCAGGCAGGACCTTGACGACATCTACTTGATCGGTTCTCCCAGTCTTAATCTAAATCGACTCGTTGCCTACGATTACCGAATCGCTTTTCAGATCAACTGTAGTATCGCTGGTTGTTTGGTGGTCTCCTCCACGATGATCATATCATGGCTGATGAGCGTTCCTCTATCCTGATTCGAAACCGCTGTGTGCCCGTCACCGTCAAATGATGTCCACCGACGGTCTGAATCAGGATCGAGGACTGCGTTACTGAAACTCCTTCGAACCTTTTCGTAATGGACACCCGCTCACGTGTCCACTGTGACCCGGACCGACACCTTCAACAGTCACCCTGACGACCGGTACCCGCCATCTACTCGGCCAGGATAGAGAGAAATACTGGTACAAATTGCAGTTGGTGCAGGTTCTAGCCACATGGCCCACTTGATTGCATCGGAAAAAGCGGCGACCGTTCCGGTTTCCATGTTCATTGCGTTGTGAAATCGCTCTCGGAGTCTCCCACGACAACAGCTTCTCAAACATTCCGGACAGTTGGTTTACTTTTTTCAAATCGGAATGCTGGACTCTCCTCACAGTCATTCGCTCCGAAAAATGCTGGGCAACAGTCAAAAGATCCTCCCCCCTGCTTTCTCCAAGCATCGCTGCCAAATGTACTTTTTTATCGAGTGGGTTCGGCAGGCTTCGCACAAATTGCTGTTTGAGTGGCAGTTCTCTTGCGTTACCCACGAACTCGGGGAGCCCAATCGCCAAACGTCTGACCAGCTGCTGGAAAAACAGGATCAAATCTTCCTGTTCGTCCCAACTGGCTGAGTGAAATTGCTCCATTGCTCGCTGTATTTCGTCTTCCTTCCCAAATTCCGTACATAATGCCGCCCTCATCTCAGCGAACGAACAGCCAGAATTGGCCTTCCGAGTAAACATATACATCGACTTCGCATTTCCATCCAACAGTGTGCCCAAAGCAGTTAGCAAACTGGTGTCACCTTTGACCCCGTGGTATGCAGTGATGGCCTCAAATTCATCGAGCCATGACTCCACGTCTCCATGCGCGAAGTGCGCCGGCCAGGTCAGCTTCATCCTGATTGGTCACGGCACCAGTGTGACGTAAACGACGTGGGAGGTGGACGGGAACATAGTATGTATTGCCACAAGAACGTGCCACCGACAACTCACAAACCAGTACAGATTTGGACCGTGTTTCCTCCTCACGACGCAACGCGGATGAGGATTGGTGTGACGGGCCCACGAGGTTGGGCTTCGAGACAACACCTCCATCTTTCTATCCAGTATCTCCGCTTCGCTACACCCGACTCTGGCCAGCCACGAGTCGTTCGAAAACTCGCGATTCGCTCTCCCGCGGCTGCATCACTCGACCCGCGTTCAATCCTGTGGGCTTCGCCAGCGGCGTATTTGTCTGATTCATTACGTTCTCGACAAATACTTCCTCCATTGTTCTGGGCTCAGGCTTGTTACCAGATGCCGCCGGTGATCCGCAACGATCGTAGAGTCTTGTCTCGTCTCATCCATTGCGCCAATTGTTAATGCTTCACCATCCCTTTTTGTTGTCGTTAAGGTTCATGAGTAGTCACTGGCTTCCGAAGCCCTACAGTATGTACTGATAATACAATGCTCTTACATAGACAATAAGTTGTGAAGTGTAACAAAATAGCGGTATATTCTTCGACAGTGCGAGGCACAGTGCAACTAGTTAGTATGATCGCTTGTATATCCAAATCGCATGGAACAGATGATTTGGGGTTTTCCAGAGCCGTCCTCAAATTATTTGGGGGGAGGGGGTCGGGGCTAATTGATCGGATGAATCTTTCGAGGAGATTGTGGGGTTGTCATAAAAGATTATGTGTAGGTAACTCCGAATGTACGGTTACCCATGGAATTCTCTCACAGGGACCTGCCTTCGTGCGACGTATCGTTCGGTAGGTTTCACCCGCACTTCCATGCCCCAGCTGACCGTGTGCCGGTGTGGCTGTTAAAGCAGCTAAGTTACCACCTATTTAACTCATTTAAAGAACTGTTTTTAATTTCATATGGTATGGACACTCAAGTCGTCTAGCCCGTAAAGTGCTCGTATCCTGTCAACAGCAAAATGACCCAAACAGATGACTCTAGCTTGAGGATAAAACAGCAAACGTGAAACCACTTTCTGGCGCCTTTTATTACTGAATCAGATGACCAAATGACAAACATTATTTAGACACGTGTCCTGAGTTGGATGAGGCGAAAACATGACATTGGCACCTCGTCAAATTTCGAGCAAAGTTGCTAGCGAGGTAAATTGACCAATACCACTCGAGCCAATGACTTCATTCTTTTCAACCATGTCAAAGATTAGCCATCCTCGAGCACTGCATTATTTCAGCCCTGAAAATGAAACAAATGGCCCCTCTAGAAATGATGTGTGAGGATACGCTGCAAGTGCGAAAAAAAACGACTGACCAGCACGCCCATGTAATCGGAAAAGGAGTTAACTGCTGCGGAATCCGGCTGTTCAGTTGAAGTTGACATCAGCTGTTATCGAAAAAACGTTCAACAATCCGTGGACTGTGATGTTCACATGTTCCACGGGAACATACTACAGAGGTGTGGACGGAACGGAACCGACTAAGGAATTGAGCCGAGGAACATAGTTGTAGTCTGCTTGCGATACGGGTGATGTCACCTTATCAGATGTAGCAGCGATTCACTTTTTTCAAACGAAAGTATTACATACATATACGGGACCGCATTCGCGTGGCACTTGTGAACCGGAGGTCAATTTCTTCCATCGATAAATTTGTTATTTTAATTCATCCGCTGTACTTATTGTAAAATGCTGAAAATGTACCTTTACGGGTATATAAAGCGTATATTGATTTGACTTAAAAATGTGATTTATGCAACCGGGCGGATACACCAGTTCTCTTTTCTCCAGATATTCACACTCATCACTGAGGCCGAGACCATTAACTTTTGATTACTGCTAACGACAATCTGATACCTCGTTGGTTGACAAAAGGCTTACATGATCCCGCAGAATGTGGTCAAGTTAATCGACTCACCTTAACCTGCATTGGCAGTCTCCTTCAATAGTCCTGATTGAACAGGGCGTAGTTGAGCTATTTTAAACTGCGGTTCACTATTGTTGGAGATTGGGAAGTACCGATACAGGCCTAAAAGCTGTGAGGATTCAGGGGGCCGACTGAATGCTTTATTATAGTCGCTGATTAAGCTGTTTCCAGAATCTTATCATTTTACTAGCCTCCGCGGTAAATCCGCTGGCTCTGTTTTAACCTGGACAATAAAATGCGCCTAATCGCGTTGAGCACGGTGTCGTCAAATATTATCCCTCTGAATTTCAACAGGTTCAGTCTCATCAAGTGTACGATGCACAAGTGGAGTTACCGTGATATGCATGGCAGTAGTTTTCATGCTATAGGCTTCCAGGACGTCTGAGCGATTGTCTGTCACACAAGCGCAGGTAGTCATGCTTCATTTGGGATGTGACAGCTCGATTTTCGGGCAACGTAGCCGTTTGTAGTGTATTCCAGAAACATTCAGTGGAAATCGGTAACGTAACAGAGAGCGATCGTGGTCAAAAATCGTGTTCCAAACATGTACGGCAGTCATGGATGCAATCAGACCACATGATGCTACGTATATATGCGGACCATTGGGACCAAATGCTAGGAAGAATACGGGTGGGACTAAGTGCTACATTGGAGTTCATTGTGGTCAATGTTGTGCTGCCGGCGATCGGCGCACAGCTGCAATAAAGGCTCGTGCACCAGAAAGTATTCACTAACAGTCCGGTTATCTGAGTTACCGGGAGTAGTGTTCCAACTGTTGTCAATTATATTGGGTACAACGGAAAGAACATCGGAGTTTGGGGGGCATATAAGGAAGCGAGGCAGCAGAGAAACTCCAGTTATACTTATTAGCCCTATCACGTGAGGCCGATGAGCAACACTTCCGAAATTACACGACGGTCAAGGTAGAATGAAACAAAGTAGGATGAAATAGTCCTGGGATATAGAAGGGGCACCTAACCCAATAAAAAACGGATAGATCGCTTGACCGTTGATGCCGGTTAGAAAGCCTTGACGCAACGACGCCGCCCAAGCTCTAATGACTAGTATACAGATTCGAAGGGTGAGATCTCTTTCAGCCAAACTGACACGAGTAGCTCTCAATGACGTGATGTATCCCAAGTGTGTAGCGCAATGAAGGAGATTAAGTTATCGTCGCAGTGCGTTATTATTCAATAGTCAGCACGCTTACCACAGTGCATGGAGATGAATCCAATGATCACAAGTTAAGTGGTAACGGATATAGCATTGTGTAAACTGGTTAGATTAAGATGAATAAACACTTTACTAAAATCGTCTCTACGGAAAGATAATGAATACAAATGGACAAGCGTACATCCAAAACAAGCTGAAGGGACAAAAACGAAACTATCACGCAATAAGGATAAACAAGGGAAAGGAGGACCCAACCAGCATTCGGTGGTTGCAACCGAACAGACAACAGCGGATGAGAGACGAAACTACAATGCCGGAGCGAAAACTGATTAATATACATTGTGAGTAGTTTCAAGATGAAACCATGTTGGTCAGTGATAAGTAAAAATAGTCACAGAGGTGGCGCATGGTTAAAAGAACCTGACATACTGTTTGGTCACGCAACAATGAGGTAAGAACATGAAAGGGAGCTCAGAAAAACATTAAACACGTTCACGAGTCCCATTTAGGATCTGGAAAAGCAGCAGGAGTCTCGCTCGCGGCGGATCGACCAGTTCGATTACATGGAATATCGTGAATGGGGGCTGATTCTGATAGGCTGGAATGAGTGTTGTGTTTGGACTTTACGCTGGGCTCATTTTCAGCTTCTTCCATAGCTGAATCTACTCCAATATCCATAGATCCACAAGCATTCCCATCCGCACTCACACCAAGGACATTGTCATCCTCGTCCATATCAGAGTCGTAATACTCATAATCGTCATCAAAGTCGGAACCATGCTTATCCACATCAGATGAGCTTACATCATTCCCGGGTCGACCAGAAACGCAATATTCTTCTAATGTCCGCGGAACACAAACACCATCTTTTTCAGCATCCGCACTGGTTTGTTGTACCAGCGACCTAGGGAAAAAAGAGGCGAAACAATCCGATGGCTACATACCAGTTGACGGTAAAACTATACCGCATGAACAAGTCATATGGATAGCAACATGTAGTGGTCCGTGGGGAAAGCAATGACACAAACATGATAACACAATCGGAAATCAACCAAGGAAGATGAGTGCATAACACAAGACACGCTATTTTGCGGTTAGCACAAATGAGTTACACAGTTCAGGAGAATTTACTTAGAGAAATGTGATCAGAAGAATGAAGTACGACAGAAGCAGCGTGTATGATCTACGTCATACAAGAAGAAGAGGAAACGGCAACAAGTTAGTGACAAGGAGAGAAAAACGCAGACACTCAATGAGTAACCACAAAATGTTAGTAAACTGGGACGACCGCTAAAAAGGAAACGTATACATATAATGACAATGAGACGGAAAACGGCAGCGATGCTGGCCTCTCTACTGTGTCGCACTGGAATAGGTCTGGACAACCAGGTGGCCGAGCACGCAGGCTCTGCACCGGTAAGACGAAGTCACTCGGTTAATGTTCATGTGCCTTCTCACCGTATTACGGGTTTATTACCCTGAGGTTCCTCACATTCAGGTAGCGTTAGATTTGCTTCTTAGTATGCGATTTCAATTGAACTGAAATCGGTTGTCTGTTAGCCCCGAACCCCAGCCGAAATCACAAGTCAACGCTTGCGGACAAAAGCGTGTTGCGGAAGTAGCTAACGAAACGGAGTCAAGTAGTGTGAAATCAATGGTCACGAATAAGTCAGCCAAGGAAGGCGCAACGAGCTTGCATTCGGTGCAATGAGACTAGACTTTAACCCTACGAGACCTAACTGTCCCCAATACCTGGGCTCCTGAACATTAAAGAGGAAAAACCAGCACGATATGAAAAATGTTAGTTATATGCAAACAAGTGGTTAGAATAAGATGGAACATGGAGACATTGCAGAAAATATGTACTAGGCAAGGTACGAAAATTAGGTACAGCGAAAGTTTGCCTACGGCGTAGACCCACTGAGCTTTTCTGGGTGGGGTCAAGGAGTCTCTTGAGAACCACACATACCAGGTAGATCAGTGGTTAGATATCAGATGAACTCAGTCTCTTGGTCCTTCAGGTTAAGGGTTGGAAATGGGATGGCGTCCAGATCACAGCCTTGCGGACAGGTTTTCGCGCCAAAAGAAATGATTAAGGATCCTAATCGTTCTCTCGTCCACGTGTGGGCGTCCTGGCAGCATCTCAGCCCAAGTACAAACTTGACTAGTTCTACAAACTTCAAGCATAGCCTGTACCTGCCGTCGAACAGATTATCATGCTTCGCCTTACCTGATCCATACAACAGGGCAGATAAGCGAAGACATACTATTGCTAACGCCACCCTTCTTTCTTTTCCGACTGTTTCTCTTACTCCCTTCTCAACCTCATTACTAGCCTTCCTTCTATAATTCCACCTCAACTGAAAGCAGCCGCAATGCCACTGTAGTTCTACCACAGACAACTATCTTCCTGCATCACACACTGGATGCCAGTCGTCAATAGCTCCTTATAAGGCCACACTGAACCGTTCCTCTCAAGGTGTTCAACGCTGGCACTTTATAACAAATAAGTCAACAGGCTGCAATCACACGCAAGTTGTACACACTGGGTACTGACGCGTGTTGTTTGTCCGAAACTAGGATCAATGATCCTCACGGGTTATTGAACTAACAGCGCCCGGTCTTGCCTCTCGCTATTGGTTGTGCCCATCCGGAGACGCTGGTGCCATAACCGCTGGTCAAGCTGGGGTGGCATCGCACTCAGCTCCAAGGCTGGAGGATCGTTGATTGATGACATTCCTATGAACAACCGTTTGCGCGCAGCCCGCTTGACAATAAGCAGCATAAGACACTGTTTGTTTGTGGTTTCCGCTTATAGCCCTACCGATTGCAGTTCTGATGCAGCAAAGGATGCCATCTACCACGAATTGAATAGGCTACTTCGCAGTAATACCAGTTCAGACAGCTGTTGTGGCGGAAAAAATCAATGTGCAAGTAGGTCATTTGAGATCCACAGAAGCTCAGCTAGGTGGCAAGTATAAAATGAACCCGATCGGACGGACAACGGCCAGCATGTTTTGCATCTGTGTGCAGAGCATCGGCTGTTTCTTAGAAGCGCCGTTTTTACACAGTGGGCGCCGAAGTGCCACTTCGCGACACCTATAGCTGGCCAACAATGGACCCAAATTGGTTAAGTTTCGACAAGTTACACATGGCGTGGCCCCATACTGGACTATCGCTCGTTCTGAAATTACCTGCGTCGACTCTCATCATACATCGGCACTTTGTCATTTCTCCCTTGACTTTCCCGGGAGGCGTATTAAGTGCCTTATTCCACTGAGGAGAAATATCAGTGCTCTGTCACGCAAACCTACCACGATGCCACATATATATATATATATATATATATATATATATATATATATATATATATATATGGTTGGCGGCATCCGGTTTCGGATTTGCCTGTCACTGTGGCCAGCCACAGGAAGCCTGCGCCTGCAGAGGGACCATGTGTGGCTTGCGCTATACCACCCACAGCTCCAACCACACACCCCATATCCAGTGTAAACCCGAACGAATAAGACCGGGAGGCATGTGGATGGGAGCCACGTTTCATCAACGGAGCCTGCCCACACTCCTTCACAGGCAAACACAAGCACGCTGTAATTGGGGAATCAAACGCACACAAGGCGGTGGCTGGACCGTAACGCGCTCCACAGTGAGTGCATGGAACCACTCTTTGATCCTAACACAGCCACAAGGACCGTGCATCCCATCCCCTCCAGCAACGACCAACTGTCTCCTGGAGCCAGTATGGACGAGGTAGTGGGTAATAGATAGGTAGGCACCTTGTCAACATGCACACCAAGCGCAGCCACATCGGGGATATCAAACAACAGCCAATCACTTGAGTGAAAGGTAACAAGTAAAATCAATCGAGTAATGCATAAAGAAACAGTGAAATAAATTTTAAATTAATCAGCACATGAAATAATTAAGTGAGGTTCTTCGTAGCCAGTTTCCAAATCAGATAGTCATCCACATGCCCGGAAAAGCACTAGACTACACTTTCAGCCTTTTGAGCATCATCAGTAGTGCGCATCCATCAGGATTCAAACCCATGACCACCAGCGGTTTGAACCGCCAGTCAGCAGCTTATGAAATAAGTTGTTTACAAAAGGATCCGAGATAAGTTCCCGAGGGCAGAGAAAATATTTTGCGGAAATGCCACAAACACGAAAATGTTTTCGAAATTAACTACAATTGGCTTAAGCGACGTGTGCAAGTTTATAGAAGAGAGTATAGCTAGGCATTTATATGAGAAAGAAAAGCATCAAGACAAAATTGAAAATCCAACACCTGAAATAAAGAGATTTAGCATGCAAGCACGCGGTTAGTAAATTGAATGCAGCGTATCTACAAGCGCTGCGCCGGTTCTGCCTATGTTTCCTGCAGGACCCGTCGTCGCTTCGGTCGTGGTCCCGAGTGGCCTCCCTCATGGCTCACTAGGCCTGCCTGACTCAGGCACTCGTAACCGCATGTGCTACAGCACCATGCGCTCGATGTTGATGGAGTACAACCCATCGGTACTCGCCGCTTCCGCACTTGCCACTTCTTCTCTGCATGTATGAGGCCTTTCTGCTGCACTTCGGCAACTACCTTCGTGATTAGATCGCGCCATACACGCAGATCAATCGCCTTCGATTCCCATGACCTGTAATCAAGATTAGAACGTGAGAGGCTCCCGTTGATCATGTCTTGGTAACGTAACTTTGGTTTCTCCACATGCCGCTTCCAAATACTCAGCTGACCATATAAGAGTTGTTTCGGTATACGCGTCGAATCCATACGGCTCACATGACCGAGCCACCTCAGGTGTCCCAGCAAAAGTATGCAGTCCACTGCATACATTCCACTTCGACGCAACACTTCCGTGTCCGCAACTCTGTCACCTCATCCGATGCGCAGAATCCGTCGCCAACACTGTTGATGGAACCGCTCGAGATATCGCACATCCCGCCGGCACATCGTCCACGTTTCACTGCCGGATAGAAGAACGGACAGCACCATGGATTTGTGCACCATCAGCTTCGTGCCAATGGTAAGCTGATGGTTGTTCCATACTGGGTACTCTAGCTTCCTGAACGCCGCTGCCTTCGACACGCGGATACGCGGCTCACTTTGTAGCTGCTGATCAGTCGACATCACACTCCCAAGGCAGAAGAAGCGGGAGATGGTTTCCAATACTTCAGCGAAAATGCTGATTCGCGGCAATATTGAAGATTGCACCTCCGGTGAAGGCTGAAAGAGACAGACAGTTTTGCTTGTGTTGATGGTGAGCCCGAATTTGGTCGCTGTCGAAGTCAGAGCACTAGTCATGTGCTGCAGCTCATCCGCACCGTGTGCAAACAACGCACAGTCGTCAGCAAACAGCAACATACGGATAGTTGTCTCACAGACTAGAGTTCTCGCACCGAAACGACGGATGTTCAGCAACCCACCATCAGTACGGTGCTCCACACGAACATCGTAAACACAAGTGGCATCAAAAGCACAAGACATCATTGCATGAAGATAGATATTAAACAGGGCAGGAGCTAAGACACAGCCTTGCTTCACACCAGAGACAACCGCAGTTATCCGAGGTCTCTCCACTCAGCTGCACCATCACTCGCATACCACTGTGCAGACATTCAAGTAAACTTACAAACTTACGCGAGCAACCAAACTTACCCAACACCAGCCATAATGTCTCGTGGTTCACCGAATCAAATGCCTTGGTGAAATCAACAAAAAGAGAGTACAATGGCTGGTGTCGTTTTCTGCACTTCTCCTGCAACTGATGAGCCACAAACACCATATCTATAGTGCTGCGAAGAGAGCGGCACCCACACACTGCCCTTCCGCCACGTTCGGTTCCACAACCTGACTGACGAGGCGGTTGAGCAGGATTCGGCCAAT